TGTGTACGTTAACTTAAAAAAGTGAGTTGCCATTGCATTTCAGCCCTAGCAGAAGCTGGTGTTGTGCCAAGTAAACTATCATTGAAGCATAAATTTGATGGAGGTTTAAATTTTTCTCCTGAAAGGTACTGTGTAGCTTAGCTAGGGGCTATTATATGCCTGAATATGTTGGCATGATTGAAACGGAATATTGAAGTGATTTTGACTCTATTTTAATTTTGTAGATTTTTATCTCGACGAGATCTAATAGAATGGAGATCCCAGCTGGAATATGATTTTTCCACCACCCGAAATCCAGAGGTAGAAGTTATTCAGAGTATTGCTGTTAATGCTTGGCTATTCTTAGCTTACTAAGATGATTTTTCAACTTCTAGAGACTGACTCTTTAACAGTCCAGTTACTGAAAACAAAATTGGACTTAATGGACGCGAGGAGGACAAACTCAGATGAATGGCCAGGACTTTATATGGATATGCTTGCTGGGGACAGAAGCCTACTTAGAAGAGTGTTTGGTAGGTTGCTAGCATTTTCTTTCTTACTGCCTCTTATGTAGTATGTACTACGTAGAAAGTATTTAGGGCCTCAATACATGTGTAATCTGGTTATACCCTACAGAAAAGTTGTCAGATAAGGCTGGGGGACCCGGGATCCTAAAAGGTCTTCTTGGTTATTAACACATTTTGCCCACAAATTTTTATGTTGATGGACTCCTCTAAGTCATCTGACTCTCTGAGGCATCCTTGTTCTCTGCTGTTAATGCACCATAAGCTGGTATCTAATTTCATTCTCATTGCAGGAAAAATCAGGCGCCTTCAGCCAGACAAACCTTCAACAATAGCACAAGCAGCTGTTGTACTCACAAGTGGCCGCATGATAGAAGCTATTCAGAGTGAATTGTTAAGATTGAAGGAAGAGGAATCTTCTAGAGTAGCTGCAAAAGAAGCGATAAGACAGGAGTTATTAGATCGAGGGGAAATAGAGAGGTGGTGGGCTGAAAAGATGGAAGAGGAGAAGAAACGGGGCCTAAAAGTGCAGCAGTTTTATGTAGATGCTGTCAACCTTTTGGAACAAGAGAAGATTTTGCAAGAGGGAGCTGTAAATGGGTTTTTGAAGGAGAAAGCTGCAATGGACTGTCAGAAGCAACTTTTAGAGGCTCTGAGGGAGGAAATTAATGAAATTTCCGAGAGGCTTGCATCAGAGAGAACTGAACAATCTTCTGATGAGGAAATAGTGCAAACTCTTCGTTCTGATTTACAAATAAAGAAGGAAGGAATACTTGATGCCAAGTCTGTGCTAGAGGCTGAGATTGAAGCTCTTCGAATCTTGAGGTAGAATTTCCTGATTTTGAGTCTGAACATTCCAATTTCTATTTTCTTATAACTAATAACTAAGAAAAATGTAAAGCTGCTGGTTTATGATGACCTTAAATTTTTTTTAAAACATTAATCTCACTAAAATGATTCTGGATAAACTTAGCATCAGGGCCATCTTAAACATTTTCGGGGCCCTGTTCTAATCTTAAAAATAAGACCCTTATAAAAAAAAAACAATTATATTAATGAAAAAATAAACTCAAAATATTTCTTTTTCAGCTTTTTATTTTTTAATTACTCTGTCGATGAACATATTAATCTCGCAATCCAATCATTCAATTACAAGTTGTTGAAAATGAAAACATTTTACATATGTGCTTGAAAATTAAAAAAAAAAAAAAGAACACAAATCTTCATAACAATTAAACATTTAACTTAACTTTTAAAAAATTTAAAATCAACTACTAAAAGTCTTAAATTCTATAAAAATGAAAAATCAGAACAAAAAAAAAAAAAAAAAAAATTACACATAGAATTACTGGATTTAGCATACCTCATGAGCAATCCACAAGCAATGCAAGAGGTTAATTAATCTTAATATTTTACCGATCTAGATCAAATGGTTGATTGATATTATTGGTTTTGTAGAAATATAGTGATATGATGGGAAAATATTAGGTGCCAATAATTTTACCGGTGATTAGTTTGGGCAGAAAATTAATTATTAAACATTTCTCAAATCGTTTGATAGACTGATTAAATAGCAGAGAAGGGTAAGAGTCTTAAAAGGTTTTATGGAGTTTATGGGTATAAGTTGATAATCAACGGAAAATTAGTAATGAATGAAATTTTGAAGTTTTGACAACTTTATGAGAATTGCAATGCATTGATGGGGGTAATTAAGTTCTAAGAATCTAGTATAATTGTGTTTATTTAGCTCTGAAGCGTGTGAATACAAGAAGATAGAGGAAATGAATTTTTTTTTTTTTTTTTTTTTTTTTTTTTAACAATGGGGCTCTGAAAATGTTGGGCCCTCAATATTACGGGGCCTTGTGCTAAGGGTCTGTTTGCACAGGCCCTTAGCCGGCTTAGCATCATCTGGTTCGTGTAGTAACAGAATAGTAGCCATTTAAATAATGGAGAGTTAAGTCTTCAGAATCTAGTTATTAAAGATTTCATTTTAGCTAAAGCCTTCCCAGTACTCATGGTGTTCATATATAATTACCGAGCTACCAACAAGAAAATTACAAAGCATTTTGTTTTTTGTTTTCTGCTTTTATTTATTTTTTATTAAATAAATAATTATTATTATGACACTTAGTTTACTAAAATTCCTTTGAAATTGAACTATACTCCCCCCACTAAATCTTAGTAAAGCCACAAATCTTATTAGGTGACAGCTTTTTATTTCCCATCCTCAAATATATATGACCATTATTTCAAGCAGCTAAGTGCAAACAGACCCCTAGCACAGGATCCTGTAATATTGAGGGCCCAACATCAGAGCCCCGTTGTTAAAAAAAAAAAAAAAAAAAAACTATTTCCTTTGACTTCTTGTATTCACACGCATCAGAGCTAAATAAACACAATTATACCAGATTCCTATAACTTAATTACCCCCATCAATGTATTGCAATTCTCATAAAGTTGTCAAAACTTTAAAATTTCATTAATTGCTAATTATCCGTTGATTATCATCTTATACCCAGAAACTCCATAAAACCTTTTAAGACATTAATCAATCTATCAAATGATTTGAGAAATGTTTAATAATTAATTTTCTCCCAAATTAATCACTACCTAACATCTTCCCATCAAATCACCGTATTTCTGCAAAACCAATAATACCAGTCAGCAATTTGATCTAGATTGGTAAAAGATTAAAATTAATTAACCTCTTGCATTGCTTGTGGATTGCTCATGGGGTATGCTAAATCCAGTAGTTCTATGTGTAATTATATTTTTTTTTGTTCTGATTTTTCATTTTTATAGCATTTTAGACACTTAGTACTTAGGGATGGCAACGGGTCGGACTTGGAGCGGATTATGCTAAATCCGACTCCGACCCGACAGGAAGTCGGAGGTTAAATCCTACTCCGACTTCAATATCCGACCTCCGACTCCGATCCGACCCGACTCCGAGTTTTTTTTTTCATTATTCAATATACTTTGAGATGTTGGGATATTTGGGTCTTTACAACCCACACCCAATGCCACCATGACCCACACAAAAATCCACTATCTATTGGAGTCGGAGTCGGATAATCCGTTAAAGTCGGACATTTGTCGGAATCGGATTTTTTTTTTCGGATTTTTTGTAGGATCCGACTCCGACCCTCCTCCGACCCGGAGTCTGATTATTCTAACGGAGTCGAACTCGGATTACTTTTTTCTCGCACTCGGAGCAGATATTTTACCTCGGATCGGAGCGGAGTAGGGTCGGATCCGGACTAGATTGCCATCCCTATTTAGTAGTTGATTTTAGATTTTTTAAAAATGAAGTTGAATGTTTTATTGTTATGAAGATTTGTGTTATTTTTTTTATTTATTTTTATCTTGATTCTCAAGCACAATTGTAAAATGTTTTCATTTTCAACAATTTGTAATTGAATGATTGGATTACTAAGAGCTTGTTTGGCATTGTTTTTTGTTTTCAGTTTTCAGTTTTTTTGAAAACTAAAAACCAAAAACAGGAAACAAGAAAAAGGTGTTTCCACTTTTTTGTTGCCAGTTTTCAAAATTATCATGATTTTAATAAGTTTGAATAATTTTTGACTCGTTATGTGACATATTTTTATATGGTTTTAAAAAAACAAAAAACCAAAAAACAGAAAGCCACAATGATGCCAAACGAACCCTAAATTAATATGTTCCTTGACAGAGTAATTAAAAAAAAAAATTTAAAAATTGAGTTTATTTTTTCATTATTATAATTTATTTTTTTTTAAAAATAAGGGCCTTACTTTAAGATTAGAATAGGGCCTTGTAAATGTTTAAGACTTCCTTGATTTTAAGAATGGGATAGTAATTGCTATGGGTTCCTATTTGTCATTAATTATTCTATCTCCTAATGCAGATCTTGGATAGAAGATGAAGCAAGGAAAAGCAAAGCTCGATCAAAGGTTCTTGAGGAGGTGAGCCGACGATGGAAATGGGATAGTCAATAATAATAAGATATGCTTCAGGAATAGGAAGATTGATTTATTGCTCTGGGAAAACATAAAGATTTTTTTGGTTGTCTGATCACTTTTGTGTAATAACCTGTCTCAGGGACTTTGTACATTTGTAATTAGATTAGGGCCTTTGTTCATCTGGTTTTCATGGCAATCTTCTTCATACCCAATCTATCTGACATGATTTTTGCACTGTAAACTCTGTATATATATGTTGATGGCAATGCTGCCATTGCACGAGTTCAAGTCAAATAAAGTATAAGATATTTGCGGCTAACGGATTTTATGTGGTGAGAAAATACCCAGTTTTTTGAAAAGCCATGAGTCTAGAGAGATTGAAAGTACTGGCTGCAAAAGTTGAATCACAGAAATTATCAGCTGTTGTGGACAATTTAAGTCGGGGCAATCTTGTAACCGCATGGATAATGCCAACGACAACACGAATGATGCTTATATAGAGGAAATTTCTAAGACTCTGAACTGATTAGATTTATGATATTTAAATGCGAAGATGTTGAGAAACTGAATGTATAGGTTCCATATTAGAACAACCATACACCAGGGATTATTGATAAGGTTACAGAAGACTAGTTGTGAATTGAATGAATGAACAATAGCTTTGATTCTTCAGGCTTAAAATACCGTATCAAGTTATCCCAGGCTTTAAAATGAAGCTCTATAAATGGTTAAATTACTGATTTGTTAGCACCTTTGAAGGGGCAAAAGATATGTTACAACCTTATTACTTTGATAATCAGCCCATGCTTCTGATATATCAATCACTTCGAGAGAATCACTATTTCATTGTAATTACAAGACTTCTGTCTGTAAATTTAGCACCTCCTACCTTACCTTGAATACCACGAGGTAGCATGATGACTCTTCTTTGGTCCCCGGCTTCCACCAGCAACTCTGATCCACCTCGATACTGCATGTTTTTACAAATACTAAGAATCAGTAAATTCAGATAAACAATAGAGGGATAAATCATAACTGTCTTGTTACAGGCTTACATCTACTTTTCAGCATGTTCTCTTTAAAATCACAGTGTAACACTCAGGATGTGCTTTAACTAGTCTAGTTCCTCTTAAGCAAGGACGTACACATACAACTAAAAGGTTACCAGGAAAAAATGAAGCCCAGGGCTGGCCCAATGGATGCTGGATCAGTAGCTCTAGGGTAAGTGGTGGAGGACTAGGGGCGACACTGGTAATTCCCATTTCACTATACACTATAATTATGTTTTATTAGGCTACATTCATAATTTTCTCTTTTTACATCACAGAAACACTTAGAATGTACTTTAACAAGTAGTCTAGGGCTCCAGGACATACACTTCAAAGGTTACAAAGAAAGTACGAAGCCAGTGACTGGCTCAGTGGCCAATTGTATTAGTAATGATGGCTAGCAGCAGCACTGGTAATTCAACTCACTACACAATATTATCTTGCCACCCCTCACACGTCTTCCCCCCCCCCCCCCCCCACCCCTCTCCCACTCCACCACAAAAAAAGAAAGGAAGTTTTATGCTCATAAATGTTTATAAACCCAAAAGTTGTTTCCATTACTACGTATTTTGCAAGAAAAGAATGGACTAGTGAAACAAATATCATGATCTATAGTTGACCTTGGAACAGTCTCAGGAAATGCAACTACAGAGCATTAAAGGCCTATGACAGCACCAAGAGGAAGTAGCCAAGGATACCTGATAGAGCTTGATCTCTGACTTGGCGAAACCAGGCATGAAAAGAGTGATACATCTATTTGACGGATCAAACTTGATTGGGGACATTACGTTTTTAGGTTTCTCATTCGGAAGTTGCAGAAGTTCTCTGGCATTTTTACTCTCAGCATGCGAAATTATCATATCCCAATCCAAGGAAGAATGTTTACCAAGATCTGGAATGTAAGCAAATGGTAAATGCAAGAAAGTATCTTTGACACTTTCCACAGATTCCACAGAAGACTGTTGAGAAGCTTTGCCTAGTACTCCAGAAATATTTGCACCAGCTTGTATTGTACATCCCCAGTAACGCAATGCAGTATTTACAGATATGGGATTGCATGGATCTGTTACAATGTAGCAGCCAAACTTCTGTGGATCTGCAAATGTTGAAGCTCCTCTCTGGAGATAGAAAACCAATGCAATCAATCACAATATTTCTCAGAGAACTATTATTGTGTGGAAAAGAATCTCCAATACCTCAAGAATCCTCTCAAGAGAATCCCATATTTCTGAACTCAATTTCCCATTGAAAGTGGAGCTACCTCCACTAGAATTCATGGCCTCATCTACTAATCTTAACATTGATGGACTAGCCAATCTTCCAAAATCAGTTTTTTCGGCTAAGCTACGTAGATACTTAACATAAAGTCTGCAAAACAGAAGCATAATTCCATAAAAGAAAACCAAGAAACAAACAAACAAACAGACAGACAAACCATCATAATTGTTCTAGAAAAAATCAAAGGGCTTAGAGCATAGAAAAATTCATCACCTTGCACTGCTTGCAGCACTTATCAATCGTAAAGTCTCCTCGGTACTTACACCATCGTATATGACAACATCAAATTTGTCCTTGATATCAGTTCTCAAAGCTTTGATTCCCAAAGTTCCAACAAACTTTTCAAGGGCAAAATTAGAAAATATAGAATCCATTCCAGGAAGCACTCCCAGCTCTTCCCCAACAATCTATGTTCACAACATATAGAAATGAGTAACTTCATATACGAATCTCAGAAGAGACTTTAATATTATAGTTCAATAACACTAGTAGTTGTTACATACCTACCCCTTCAAGGGCCCCTTGTGTCATGTTAACACTAGCATCTGCTTTCTTTAGCCGCTTAAGAGGTTCAAGAAGCATCTACATGTATCATAAATTAATTAGCTTGAGAACAGACATGTTCAAAATGTTCTCCAGTTAGAGAAAAGGCAGAGGCAAGGCAAGAAAATACACACTTTAGTTGTTTCCAACCTAACAACTGAAAGGTTGTCGCTACATATGGCCGGCGTTGTTCCAATACTGCAATTTAGAAGGTATTCAGCAGTGAGGTTCATAGAATGTGTCACCAAGCATGTGTTATATCCTGCTTTTGCATAGTGCTGGTTCAAAAAATGAACTATTGTAAAGATAAGGTCAAAGATTAAGCTCAAGTGAAGAAAATTCAAGGTATAACTAAAATATTACTATTTCATTGTCAAAGAAAATTGTGTATCAATCAACCCCATATAGTTAAGCCTGTAAGCTATCGAATATAAGCTGACTATTGCTTTGATTACGACTATGAATTACCAAAAAAACCTTTTGATTGCTAACTGAATAGTGAGAAGGGAGGATTAAGTTCCCCAACATATAATTGACTAACTATTTTCAATCCCAATTTCGATTTTAGATCATTGTCAATTCTAGTTGTCTAGTTGATAAAAACCAAATCAGAATTCCTTCACCGGCCACTAACATACCGAGAAAGCGGGTATCATGAGTCATGAGTATGATTGAAATTTGCATTTCTAGTTTCTAATATGTAGCACCTAAGTATCATAATGTATCCTACTAATACTAAAGAAAAATGTTAGAGAACCAATTTAACCAAAAACTTAAGCTGATGGATGAGACCCAAGAATATATTTTATACTCTATCACTCCCCCTCACATGAAAGGCCCTTTGAGCTTGAAATGTGGATGCAATACAGGCCCACTCATATGCGAATTAATTCCACTTTGAAGGAGGGGCGGATGAGATTCAAACCCGTGACCTTTGTGTCACGCTGGCTCTGATACCATGTTAGAGGACCAATTCAACCAAAAGCTTAAGTTGATTGAGGCATAGGAATATGTTTTATACTCTATCAAAAAACAATCACAATTTACATGTTAACTACACCATAACCTACACCAAAAGCTCTTCTCTCAGACCCAGAACAATCACAATGTATCCTAGTTAATAAAACCAATGATAATTTTCAATCTTACTAAGTTTAGCTACATCTATTTTCAATCTGCAGCTTTCTTTTTCAAGTAACTTCCAGAAAACCAATATCATGTTCATCAAAACTTCATACACATTTTTTTTAATTAGCAATCAATCTCAATGTATTCAGATAATTTCAACATTTAACAATCAAAATAAAACACTGCATAAAATAACTGAAATAGGCAAAATAAACCATAACTTCATCAAAATTATAATAAAACTGGGAATAATAATTATAATCAAATTGAAAGGAATGTGCACGAACTTTAGCAGCAAAGACAGCAGCAGTGGTCTTTCCAGAACCTCCTTTACCCAGAAAAGTAACCAATTTTGTGGAAATTTCATCAGAATTTTGGTTGCTGGAATTAGCTTGGATAACTAATTGTAAGGCTTTTCTTCCTCTTCTTCTTATTCCAGTAAATTGTGGACGAGTATAATCGATGAAATTAGGGTTTAAGGAAGTTGAAAATGGAAGAAATGGCAGTGATTGGAGAGAGGAAGAGAGAGAATTAGCCATGTTCTTGGTATGCAGTCCTTTCAGTAGTACAGTTCTGGGTTTCAAAGATAATAATTTGAGTTTTTATTTTTTATTTTTTTTTTTTTTTTTTTGAAACATGTTGGTGTGGAGGGTTGTGTCTAGGGATGGCAACGGGTCGGATCTGGACCGGGTTCGGATGGACCCGGGTCCAGATCCGTTTTTGTATATAGGATTCAGATCCGACTCGGATCCGTCGGGTCTAGAAAATGAAGACCCGGATCCGGATCCGTCGGGTCCAACGGATCCGGGTCCAAAACGGGTCCAATATATTTTGCCTAATTTTTTGCAATATATGTAATGTTCGGGTCAAAAAATTTATTTCAAACTTACGTTGTTGGTTATTAAGTTCAACCCCAAATTAACCAACTTATACACTCATATTTTGAATTAAAATTATAAACAAAAAAAAAAAAAACGATGTTACATATGAACTAGTGAAAAAACAACGATGATGTATATAATATGAGCATCCAAAATTCATCTATTGAAAGGGTTAATCTTTATCATTACTAACATTATCAACATTTTTAATAATAAAACAAACAATTTTAGTTTTTTTAAATAGGAAAAATAAAAAAACGGGTCCACAGATCTGGATCTGGATCCGGGTCTAGGGCCCAGACCCAGATCCAGATCCGTTTTTGTCAGCAAGATCCGGATCCGACCCGGATCCGTCGGGTCCAAAATTTGAAGACCCAGATCCGTGAAAAAGGGATCTGGATCCACGGATCCGGGTCGGGTCCAGATCCATTGCCATCCCTAGTTGTGTCTTGTGTGATGACTAATGAACTGATGTGCCGTGCTCGAGCTTGGGGTTGTTAGGATTGGTTCACGCGAACGCCCGTGTAGTTACGCGGGCATTTCTCAACCTATAATAGCTTTAATCATTAATGATTGCAATAATATCGTTGATAGTACTTAAATAATATCATTAATACGCTTGCATTTTTTTTTGAGGAATCATTAATATGCTTGCATCTGTATTAAGAAACGCAAAAATTAAATTTTAGTTTTATTGATATCAATTTAATTCTTTGTTGGTAATTTGAAGATATCATCTAAACACTTAATATGGAGTGCCAGTGAGGGTAACAAATACTACTCCTATTATTCACAAATTAAATTTAGATTGAGGAATTTTCTTGTTATGTATGTATATGGTATATCTATCGTAGCTTGTTTGAGTTCAATCTCAAGAATTTTTTAGTTTAAAAGTTTAACGACTAATCCACAACGACATTCTTCTTGTAGTTGAACAAGGCGTAAAAATATTTCAATTGAAGGCTATAACCTTAGTTAAGATTTTGTGGAGGCCTCGTGGCAGATTGATTACATTATTGCAGACATTCATCTTCGTCCCAACAAATTTGACAATTGAACTATATAGCACATATTATGAGGTAAACTGAGCAGTTGACTTATAACTAAATAAACTAATGTGGGTCATCTGAGGTAGTGATTATATGAACATTGTACCTTGTAACAATTCTATTTTGTTTCCTACACTTGTATCCTACGCATTAGGAGCTCTTCTCACAATGACAGTCTTTTACTTTTTCTCATTCTCCTTGCCTATATATACTACGTATATTTTTAAAAAATTGAATTTAATTTGAGAATTGTTGCTAAGTAATTATCAGCTCTAGTAATAACTAACGACGGTAAACATGTTGTTTGGAACGATTTTAGTTATTTAAAATTCAAATGGTCGATTTCATAATTGGCCCATGGGGCCATTCCGTTATTGGTTTGAGGTTCTTTATCAAATTTCAATAGCTAATATAATTGATTAATTGGTCATGAAATATGGTGAATTGACCTAGCTATATAAGTCACATTGTTCTTTTCAAGTTTTAGGTTGTATGAGCTCAAATCAAATTCCAATCAAATCATATAAACTTGCATATTGCTTTCTTTTAGTAAGCAAAATTGAAAATGTATTATTGACACAAATCACAACAATATTACAACGGCTACATTATTATTGTAAAAAATACATGTTAGAAATATTATAACTCGACTTCTCTTTTGAATGCCAAGTAGCTTAGTCTTTGACTCTTCATTATCATGCCTTGTCGAAACGTTCAAAATCTTGTGCTTCAATTCATCAAATAGAAGAAGCACTCTAATTGAACTTGCTACACACTTTTCTAATTTGCCCTTGATTACCAGTGAGCACATCAAGTGCTTGCAACTTCACCATGGCACTAGCCAATTTCGTAGCGAATGCGTTAGGATTTTGGGCGAGTTGTTGAACAAAGTCCTTTGTTTGACGATCACGAGCTAGTGCTTGATCAATTGGTAAAATTCCTCTTTGCTTGACAATTTGATCAAAGAAAGAGTTGTCAACTATGTTTGAGCTCGACGGATTTTGATCAAGAAAGGTAACGTTGTTTGATCCCATTCCTTTAGGGCATACCGGCTTCAATTGTGTTCGAAGGGTTGAGTCCATATTTGGGTCAAATTGGTTAGTATCTTGGTACAAACGGTCTTCAAAGAAGTCACAATGTGATATTCCTACCGTATGACAACCTGTTTCACAAATATAGAATTAGGTAAGATTGTCAAAGGTGCATGTCATGTCGATTAACTAAAATATTTTTAAAACGAAAATGTTTTAGATCGGGAAATCAACACAAATATAGAAAACCTTGGGTGTTAGAACTTTCCATGTTTCCTAATTCCCATGTTGACACGATAAGATGTTACTACTACATAAATAGAGCTCAAGACCAAAAAAATAGTGAAGGCCAAAAGCAATATATGCAACAACCTCTATTATATGGTGTTTGGTTGGAGTAATTATAATATTTTTAAACTAAAATTGGAGGAAATATCTACACATTGGAGATGAAATAGTGGTACAAAGGCCCTATTCCAATTAACTGAATTGAGCTAAACTGAACTTATTGGAGCTGAATGAACTGAACTGAATATTGTATAAGAGAAGGAAATTAAGAATTGAACTAAAAATAATCTGGAGAGAATATGCCCGAAGTATACCTAAGAGAACAACCATTTCTTCAGGATTAAAATTTTTGGCACCAAAGGCTGAAATGCTATCAGAAACAGATGCAAAAGGACTTGGAAGATCAACATCATCGGCATTTGATACGAGTCCATCTCTTCGTCCTGTTTCTACAAGATATTCTAGTCCTCCTCCCTGTAAATAATGACCCGAAAATTGTTAGATAATGAGTTCTAATCCGAAGTTTTTTTTTTTTTTAAAAAAAAAATAAAATTATTTTGTATTTCGAATATATATTACCAATTTAAGTACTTCTTTAGTAGCGATTGCAATAATATCTGAACAAGAGACAACATCGGGACATGCGGCTTCTGCAACACCTTTTAAAGTATCTATCAAATCATATCCTCTTACACTAAGATTAGGACCTGCTGTTCTCTCACTTGAAGACCCGGCTATTAGGATTGACGCATCACATCCCTATAAACATTAATAAAGTCAATCAAATATGAATAATCAGGATAAGAAAAATATGTAAATGAATTTAATTAATTATTTAGGATATTAATAAAATAAAAATTGAAATCATGCGCCTATAATAAGAAGATAGGAGTAGATAGGGTATGTTGTTCTTGTTCTTTACTATAATACTATAACGTGTATAAGTATGCAAAAGAATGTATGTCTTCTTGGGTATCCATTTTAGTGTTACAAATTCATAGTTAAGATAATTAAATATTAAATTCTTAAGAACTTTGTTTCCAAAATAATTAATATTGGTATTACTAGAAATAGTACTCCGTATTATGTTTTTTAAGTTAATACAAAAAACCCAAAAAAAAAAAAAAAAGATTTCAATGTAAAAGATGTGGAATGTATTTATTTAGTTATTGAAAGTACTCTTTAAGTTATTTTCTTATTGCCAATTTCTTTTACTTATATGCAAAAGGACAAAATGACCTTGAATCGCAAATTAAAATATAATAGTTTTAAAAGTATAATTTTAAGGAAAAATATGGAAATTTTAGAGATTAGATACATAAATAAGCAATGGTTGTTTTAGATGTCAAATTAGAGAAATTAGGGGAAAAAAAGGGGCAAATATAAGTTTATCTGTCTAATAAATGAATTTTTGTTAATCTGATGACATTTTTGTAAATATATTGAAAAAACGTGGTAATTTATTCAGTACTTTTGGTGAGCTGTCCAATTACTGTTTACAACTTGCTTTTACTGTTTGGTGAGGAAATTACACATGTTCCCCTTAATTAGTACATGAAAAGACACATGTACCCCTTAACTGATACTTGAAAAGACGATTATACCCCCAGATAAATAAATTATCTGGGGAATCAATTGGGTACAACTCGAAAAAAAATAAGAGAAAAAAACATATACATAATGATGTTCAGAAAAATAATGATGACAAAGAGTGAATAATTAAATTTAAACAAAATTTTGAAATAACCTTTAGAAAGTGTGAAAACATTAAAATAGAAGGAGAAATTATGTTAAAAAAAATAATAAAATAAAGTTGAATAGAGAAGTTGGTACTTACATGAACAAAACAATCATGAAATTGCATGCGAAGAAGGGCAGGAAGAATAGTTGGATCCTTGCCAAATTGTACTTGAACTTCGGTTGTAATACTTGCCTCAACATCCACATTATTAGGACATAGCCCTTTGTAAAAACCTACCTTCAACCCAGAAGGTGTACTAGGACTAGTAGGGGTAGGAGGAGGTGGAGGTGGAGGTGGACTACCCTTAGAGGGCTTACCTCGGCCTCGACCTCGACCAATCACAATAGGCCCTATTTGCAAATTTAAACGATGAGTAGACTCACACACTTCACTTAATATTGATATGAGCCCAAGTAATAAGGCCACAACTACTAAATGCCTCATTTTTAGTTCCTACACCCCCTCAACTTAAGTTTACGTGTGTTTTTAAACTTACTTGACAGTATTATAAATTTGATATATCTTAATATTGTTAATTAATAATGCGCCTTTTAGCTCTTTTCCGAATCTCCTCAAAGTGAGAGACGTATATATCTAGCTTTAGTGGTTTTAGCTTGGCTAGTAGTTGGTGATTTGTTTGAACCCTCAAGAGTTATCTTTATATATGCATGAGACAAAGAGAGATAAATATAAAAAATAACTAGTTGACAATATTCCATTCAGAGCACCACATCTCCTTAACTTAGTTGTTAGACACATGCACGATTTTTCTCAAAATCTGAACTGCAAATTGCCATATATTCCAATTTAGGTGTTCAGCATTTTTTAATTTCCAAAATATAATTATATAGACAAAATCATAATCTAACAGAAGAATGTCAAAAAAAATAAACCCAATCATACATATGGCCGTAAATAACGCATCAATATTGTTGTTATATTATAAATTTAATCAACAGGTGTATCAATGCCATAATATTGTACTGTTTAAAATAACCAATTTGATGGATATATTAATAATTGTACAATTTCGGTGTTTGTATTTAATTATAAATTAGCAAACCAAATGAACAGATCTTGTAACTTTGTATGAATTCAAGGAAAAATCGTAGACTTTCCGATAACATTTTTGTTTCTTCCTTAATCGGTAACCATATACAATACATACATATGGCCATACGTAAGATATCTGGTTTAATTTGTCCTCTTCATTTGTACGTACTCAATCGTATTATATTTGTAATGTTTTGTTGTTGTGTTACAAAAACTAATTTTAACCAAGTACTAAATGATGGGACTATAATTTTTTCCAAAAATATATTTATAAATAAAAAAATTGATGGGCTATATTTCATCATAGTTTGTTTGTTTTTTTTTTTTTTTTTTTGACACATATATTTCATCATAGTTTAAGCTTCAATTTTTCATCAAATCCCGTTGTGACAGGTTCCAGAAATTTTGCTTGAATATAGACTAGTGTTAGTTTGTTGGGCTAGATGTCAATCTTAGTACGAGTATTTTGTTCAATTGTCATGGGTGGAGTCAATGCATGGTGGACGCATATGCAACGTACCAAGATCAATATGCTCTGGAATTCTAGATACAAAACCTGTTTCAATAGTATTAGTATACAATGGTTCGTTTTGTATGATACTCTTCTATATATATTTTTTCAAAGGAAAATATATAGAACATGAAAGTGTATTCAAAAGAATAATATCATTAAGAGCTTAATTGGTCCGGCTATACACAATTTGGACAACAATATATTAAATAAATAATTCCAAGTTTTCAAACACACTTTGATAATCCCTATCAAAGTTAGCAAACTCTTAAAAAAAAATTTACTATGCCCTTAGTGGCGGATCTTGGCCGAATATATTAGAGGGGCCGGAATTTAAAAATTTAACCTCTTGCTCAAAACTAATCACTATGTCCCAATATTTTATAAGTAAATATTGATTATTTTAGTTAATCAACTCATTAATTACAATAATTTATGGGGGGCCTGGCCCCGGTGGAAGGTCCCCTCTGTATGCCCTAATACATGTAATGATTTAATTCTGCGTTTGCCTTTTATTTTTGGGGTATGAAACGAATCCAAATTCGACTACGATATGGTGAAGGTTACATATTTCACACATTCATGCCACTATGCCAGGGTAGCTCACTCCTTATAAATTACAAACCAAATCTTTCTTTGACTTTTTTGCTCCTGTTAGTTGTTCTTTAGTTAACACAATTTTTTTTTTTTTTTTTTTTTCTACAAACAAGATTATTGACAAATTAACATACATTATACCTTTCTTAATTCGGATCATTAAGATATTTGATCAAGAGAATTATTGAAGTGGTTGTAGAATTAATTGATACACACTAGAATGATTATAAACTAATTTTTAATTTATTTTCATTGTAAATAGTTAAATATAAGTATGCTCCAATAATGTACCATAATATGGAGTAGTGATTTGTGCCAACTAATTTAAGAGATTGGATGGATACATGGACAATCAAGATGATCTTGATACTATTACCTCACTCCTTACATCAACTACTCTTTATATTCCTAGTATAAGCTTAAAAAAAAAGGAAAAGTATTGTGTAAAACGGACTCACGTGAATCCAATTATACAAAAAAAATTAATTATTAGAAACTAGATAATAAGTGTCAGATCTTAGATAATATTGGTCATAAATTAGATAATATTGGTAAGATATTAGATAATAAGTATCAGAATTAGATAATAAGTGTAAGAAATTAGATAATATTGGTCAGGTATTAGATAATAAGTATCAGAAATTAGATAATTTTGGCCAGGTATTACATAATAGTCGTGAGGCATATATAATGTTGAAGTTTCTGGAGGCCAAAAGTATTATTGGAGGACAAAACCAGTTGATAACAACATCAACCGTCTTCAATCTCTAACAAAACAGTATATTATGGCGTCTTCAATCTCTACTAATGGCGAATTGGCGACAAAGATTAAAGAAATATCTACAGAGAGAAGACAGAAAGACACTAGGTGAAAAAAGGCAATTGGCAACGGTTCAAACCCGGTCTAAGGCACCGGTTTGAACCGCTGCCTATGTGAGGGGTGCCAAAAACATGGTTTTTGGCACCGGTTCAAAACCGGTGCCATAGGGTGTAATAGGCACCGGTTAACCGGTGCCATAGGGTGAAATAGGCATCGGTTAACCGGTGCCTAAAACTGCTCTCCCGCCATTTTTTTTTTGGGTGGTAAATAGTTTAGGCACCGGTTGCTGCCTAATCGGTGCCTATTAACCAATTTTTTTTTCGTTTTTTTTTTCCATCGTGCAATAATATTTTAAAAAAAAACCTGCAATAATAATAACCTGTAATTCCAGCAATTATATTAAATATAATAATTAATAATAATAATATTATTAATTATTACAATATGCTAGATACAAAAATAATATTAGAAACAAGAATTCAATTATATATATAGATATAAATATTCCCAAACGCAATACAAAAAAAAAAAAAGTTGCTTACATATACAAATAATAGTAAGTACATATATAATGAATAATTTACAATTACAATGCCATTTACATGTTGAAGGTGATAAAAGACGCCAACATGTCACGAACTTCATTAAGCTCCTTGATTGTCAACGGACCATCATTCTGGACCTTGCAAAACTTGAAATACAAAAACATTATTTTAAAAATAATTAATTAGGCAAACAATATGTATTTTATCAAATATTACCTATATGACTTCTATATAGCCCATTTACTACATTACTTATCAAATGAACTATTTCTTTCTCATAACATGTCAATATTGGATAGTTGTATGTGTGTAAGCCCTAAAATTGTATAGGAGAGCATTTTATTAAGGTTTATGACCCGAATATGGCCTATATGACCTTACTTTGCCCATTTCCTACATTTCTTATTAAATGAACTTTATTTATCTCATTACATGTCAATATTATCTAGTTATAGGTGTATAAGGAAAGAAATCACATCAAAAGAGCATATTAACACAAAATGGCCCTAATATGGCCCATATGACTTATATTCAGCCCATTTTCTACCTTTCTTGTGAAATAGCCTTTTTGTTTCTCATAACATGTCATTGTTGGATAATATTAGGTGTCTAAGGCTAGAAATCACATCAATATAGCATTTTAAGAAGTTTAACAACGCATTTTACTCAACATGGCCCAAATAGGGCTTATATGACTTCTATGTAGCCCATTTTCTACATTACTTATCAAATGAACTATTTCTTTCTCATAACATGTCAATGTTGGGTAGTTCTATGTGTGTAAGCCCTAAAATTGTATAGGAGAGCATTTTATTAAGGTTTATGACGATTTTTACGCAAAATGGCCCGAATATGGCCTATATGACCTTACTTTTCCCATTTCCTACATTTCTTATTAAATGAACTTTATTTATCTCATAACATGTCAATATTATCTAGTTATAGGTGTATAAGGAAAGAAATCACATCAAAAGAGCATATTAACACAAAATGGCCCTAATATGGCCCATATGATTTCTATTCAGCCCATTTTCTACCTTTCTTGTGAAATAGCCTTTTTGTTTCTCATAACATGTCATTGTTGGATAATATTAGGTGTCTAAGGCTAGAAATCACATCAATATAGCATTTCAAGAAGTTTTAGGACTTACCTCATCAAGATGTTGAGTGTCCGTACAATGAGTCACAATGTCAAGCATGAATCTCATCACATACAAAGCACAATCAAGTCCATTCTCTTGTTGTGCGCACTAGCATATGACAAACAAGTCACATCATTGAAACATGCAAAGGAAATGAGCAAATATTTACTACCATAGATTTTCAAGATAATCACAATATCATGTAAATTATCAACGGTGTCTTCCATGTTGGACCCTTTGGAGCACGACAATGTAGCTTCTTCATAACACTGTAGTATAAAAAAGTACATTCAAATTTGATTAGTCGTATGATTACTAAATTAGTTATTATTAGCAATAATCATTACTAGCTTGCTATATATATTTACTTTTGCAATATAGACTTCACAAGCCACTTCTCCGATGATCGAGCTGAATCAAGGTGATAAATTGTGTTAGTGGAATTACAAATCACCATGAGGCTCCAATGCTCCCTACATAAGTTCACAATAGACAAGGTAATTAATATTTAGGACTCAACATATAATGAGGCCAAATCGATTGAATTTGACATGGTTAGACTTACTCTCTATAACATGGGGCGAATATGAACTTGTCTCCCGCACGCGCTGATTCCCTTATAATCTGTTCAACATAGTACAAAACGTCATGGGGGTTGCCTATGATTTTAGTAGTGGATAACTGCTCGGGGCATAACCACCCAACTTTACAAGGAGAATCAGTGTCAGTTAAGTGCTCCTGTAGTGCTCTACGTGCATGAACATTGAATAATTTATCAGATGTAGGATAATCACCATCAATTTGAATAACTTGAAAAAAGTATAGATTATGTGGGCATTGAAGTACCTCATGAATGTTTGAATGAGGGAAATGTTAAGCTTTGCACCACGTAGAAATTCCTTCACATCTTCTTTGCTGATCCATGCAATTGCATCCTCATCATAGTGGAAC